GGCATATCTTTTTCAAGAGTCACTCTTTTTCAAGTGGTCCCCTTGGGCATCTCTGGTCAAGGAGTTGACTGTGCAGCCATGATTAGGGAAGAGGAGATGATCCAGGCAATGGGACTGTTATACCCAACTAGGCAAGGCCTTAAGCAGTTTGCTCAAGTTGATCCTACTCTGAGCATTAGGATCAGACTAGATGATGTCCAGAGGTCCCTTCCAACCTTAACGGTTTTGTGATTTTTATGACCATGCTGTAAAGTAACTGTCCTGTCATGACCTTCATAGGAGATATGGTACTTGCATAATAAAAAGAGACTTCAAGGATTTAAATCCATTTGAATATTGGATAGTAATTCTGCAAGAGATGAACTGAACATTTTAATGAAGCCTTGTCCATATGTTCTGCATGTGGGTTATCATTCTGTCTCCTCTTTCTGTCCTCTTCCGTTATGCTGTACTATCTTTTCTTCTGCTTTAGCAAAAATAGCGTATTAGCACATCTTGCTCATGGGATAATTTCAGAAGAAATGCCTGATTCTTCCCTTTTTGTAAAGCTGTTTATAGGAGACAAAGAGAGAGAGGGACACCAAGTAGGACAACTTGCAAGCTTCAAGGAGTTCTGTTGTGTTCAGTGCTCTTGATGCCATTTGTTTTGTTCTTGCTGCCCAACTTTGACTTGAGTAGGCAGGAGGCAACCAACTGAGAAACGTGGTGGGGGTGCTTACAGTATGTATGGCAAGTAGCCAAAAGTACGTGGCAAGCATTCTCCATAGAAATGTTTTTGAGGAAACTGTTGCCTCCTACACTCAGCTGGACAGGAACTCTTCTGATGTTGTTCAGTACTTAATTTGTTTAGTTATTCAGCATGCTTTTGATATAGTCTCTAGTCTTAACTGAGTTGTAAGTCATGCTAAGTCATGTTGTCAACCTCAGAAGAACGTTCATAAATCTGCAGTGCTATCCAGTATGTGTTTGTGGATAGTCTGCTTATGTACATAACATGAATTAAATCAAGGCATCAGTTTAATACAGAGATGCCAAAAACGCATTTATTTGAAGGAGTCTCTTTACTTTTCTTGCAACATTGTAGTAGAAAGATCATGAATGTTCACAGTTTGTATCAGTAGCCACTATGTGTTCTGCACTGTATTTCTTGGAGTTACACTTTGCTTTATTTATGTGATGTCAAGCTGCAGATCCTTGTGCTTTTTCAGTTTTCTGATGTATCTGTACGTCACTATTTCCACACATGAGTTGTCAAGAATTAGCCATGGAACTAGCTTGGTACCTATTGCAACTTGTTCTGACGTCTGAAAATACTGGGTTTTTTTGTCACTGAGTAATTCCATAAAGATACGTGTTCTGGTTTTGCTTCAGCTCATTGCACAGTAGGAATATTCAGTGCTTTCAGTTACAGGCTGGATATTTTGATAGTGTTGCATGTTTTCAGCTGGAAATTGATTTTTTTTTTCTTTTAAAATTAAATTCAAAGCTTAATCAGAATCGAAAAACCACATAAACCTCTACAGATCCTCCATCCGTTATGCTGACTGGAAAACAACAGCAACAAATAGCCATATGGTTATATGTGGTTATTAACTTGGCTATGCTATGCGTATGGTGAGAGCAAGTCTTACTCCATTTTAAAACTCGGATAGGTAGCAGATATCTGGTAGCAGATATTTTTGCTTGAATTTTCTTTATAACTAATTTTGTGGTAAGAGGTAGTTGTTTTTAAGGGTCTCAGTGGTTCTTACCAAGTGGACTGATCTCTGATACTGCATAGTACCAAAGACATCGGGTTAAGAAGAGTTTTTGAATAGGGAAGAACTGCTCCATAGCATCAGGCAAGACCAACCTCCTGTTGTTAAGCCAGTGCTCATGGGTGTCACATGATACCTTTTTTTAAGTAATTGCAGCAATAAAACCCTGAGGGGAGAGCTTCTTCTGTCATCTGAAAAATGTTTTGTTAGCTCTGAGACTCTTAACTGCAAAGCACAGTGCTGCTTTGGAGCATGTAAAGCTGCTGACTGTGGCAGGATAGGTATTCCTCAGAGTCTAATTTCCTTGTTCACTGATACGCAGGACCAATTTGTTCAAAAAGTTTTGGGCTGCAGACATATTTTTATTTTATTTTTCATTGTGGCTATATAAGAATATCCTTAGGATTCCAAATAGTTAAAACTAAATCAATCCGTTTTTTCAGCGCTTTCTAGTGATTCTATGTTCTCCTGAGGAAGGGGTACTGCTGTGATAAATTACTTCCTGCTGTCTTCAGAAGACTTGAAATACATCAGGTTCCAGAGGAGGACCTTGTCACACCTAGGTGTCACCACTACTCACTTCCATTCTGTTCTAGTTTTTGGGAATTACCAGTTATCTTAAGAGATGACTTGTGTCAGTGCCAAGGTGTGCTGACACAGGTGTGCAAACTTTGCAGGCAGTACAGAACTCTCTCACTCTGCACCTAGCTGCTTCTCCCAGTGTCTGCTGAGAATTCCAGCCATATGGATACTGCTCTGGTGAAGTAAATCCATCACTGTTTCTGATCTAGATATTTCTTTCTGAGCAAAAGAGATTTCTATGAAAGAATACTCTCCTCAGTATTCATTCCCTCCAAAGGCAGGCATTGTTTCAGCTTCCTTTCTCAAGCACAGGTATTCGAGATGGGGAGAGTTTCCCCATGGGAATGAGAAGGAATGAGTGTATCACAGCAGATCTCATCTTGCTTTCTGAAGCAATGCTAATGTGTGTATGAGTAAAGTCCCCGTGTTTTAAAAAAGGAAAGAAAAAAGAGTGATGTAATTTGGAGAGGGGGGGCAGACAGTGAGGATAACTGAACAGATGACTAGAGAAATCAGATTTTAGGATGGGGAGCATAAAATCAACTAGCTATAAGGAGGCTCGCTTTTCTCAGCAGACTTGGAGAAAATGTATTTCCATAGATTCATTAGTAGGTCAATGATAATTTGCTTTGAAAGAACAGCTTCCTTGGTACAAATGCTTGAATGTTAATTTGTGTACTGGTTATGGCTGTGTTAATTTTCTTCATAACAGTGGTACTGTGTTTTCTGTATTTGTGGTGAAAATAGTGTTTATAAGACAAGGATGTTTTCATTATTGCTGAGTAGTGCTTACACGGAGTCAAGGCCTTTTCTGCTCCTCACCCCACCCCACCAGTGGGGAGGCTGGGAGTGTGCAAGGAACTGGTAGGGGACGCAGCTGGGACAGCTGACCCCAACTGACCCAAGGGATATCCCACACCATATGACATCATGCTCAGCATACAAAGCTGGGGAAAGAAGGAGGAAGGGAGGGATGTTCGGAGTGATGGTGTTTGTCTTCCCAAGTGTACTTTGCTCATGCTGGAACCCTGCTTTCCTGGGGATGACTGAACACCTGCCTGCCCATGGGAGATGGTGAATGAATTCCTTGCTTTGTTTGTGTGCATGACTTTTGCTATACCTATTATTACCTCAACCCATGAGTGGTCTCAAATCTGTCTTTCTGATTCTTTCACCCATTCCATGTGGGGGCAGCGAGTGAACAACTGTGGGGGAATTGCTACCTATTGGCATTAAACCACGGCATTCAGTAGTGGCTCCACTGGAGTTCATTAAAATGCTGTAGTGTTAGTAGCAGCACTTAGGGGAAGTTATCCTCTTGGATAACTTGTTTTAGAATCAGAGATCTGCAAAGAGCAGTTAACTTTGTCTTATTGCACTGACTATTTCTGTCTGATTTCTCTAGTTGAGGGCAATTGTGGATTTGTGTCTTCCTAGCTGTAGACTAACGTGGCAAGGGAACCTTCTGAAAAGAAACACAGAGTCACTTGTTTTTGTCTGGCTTTCTAGGAACAGTAGTCTTAACCCATAACAAAGCATTCTAACCCACAGTTAGGCATTTACACAACAGATGAAGCATAGTTGCCAAGGCACATGTGAAGGTACAGTTTGTCTATCAAACACTGGATGTTCAAGGATAAAGGTGTTTTTTTTCAACTGTGAACTAATTTATTCACGACTTATTTGATGATAATATGTATTTCAGCTAAGCTGCGAGTAGGAACTGTTCTTACAACAATATAAGTCCTTTTCTCTTGGCAGAAATATTTATTATGAATCTGCACCAAGTTGCTTGTATAGTGTCCAAGAAATGTATATTAAATTTAAATTTGGAGTTTAGATAACATGTTTTTCTCCAAATCTCTTTTCCCACCCCCCGCATCCCACAGTATCTACTTGATCATGTAGAGTTCATGAAACTAGGGATGTTGTTTTGCAATAGAAAAAAAGTTTCTTAGTATTACTTTATATTTTAGTATAACATGTCTTTTAAAGTGACTGAAATATACACATTTCCATAAGAAGATGGTTTTGATGATGAATAGGTTATTTACATCTATTTCTTTAATCAAATGATGCTTGCGTTTGAGTAACTAGTAGCAGATTGTCAGTGTCGTCAGAAAGGGGCCCATAAGAAGAAGAGGCGTATAAGAATACTGCTAATTCTGTAGAAATAATTGGGTTACCATGTGTTTCTGCTGCTGTCTACTTCTACTTTTTCTATATGATTAAATAGTTGTAGCTTACTGATTTTAATAAGTAATTCAATTGCAGTGCCTCTGTGCCAGAAGAGACCTGCATTTTGAGCAGCCTTATAACACTTGTATAGGAAGGTACTTGTTTTAAAAATTAAAAATTAATTTGTGTTTAGTCTCTAAATGTACTGTATTAATTTATTGCCAAAATGTAGTCAAACAGAAGACTTCAAATGTAACCTTGCTAGTGAACTCTGGGTCTTTAATTTGGTTTTTCTGACTCAAGTTTAGAATTTATATATATTATTTTCAGTTGAGCATGTTAGATGTAGGGACTACTGAAGACCGTTGCATGGAGTATGAGAGAAAATATCTTGTATCAATTAAGTGTTGGGGGGTTTAGGTCTTAAAATATCTTTAAAACAATGCATTTCTTCATGCTTAAAAAAGTTTTCTTACCCTACAGTGTTCTTGGCAAAATTACTGAAACGACTCTATGGTGAAACTTCATCATCTTCTCCTGTGCATACTTCAAATAGAGAAGAGGAGGCGGTTCTTGGAAATCTGGGATCAAAATCCAAAGAAAAGAATTTGAGTAATGTTCAGACTTCATCAGCAGATGCTAGCACATCAACTGATATACCCTGCAAATCATTTCAAGGTGAGACTGTGGTGTCCTTTTTCTGATAATATACTTTTAAATTTAGCTGCTTTATTTCAGAACAGTGTAGTATGTACTTTTTTCATCTATTGATACCAACAGACAAATTTGAATACCAGTGCTACTGGTACTTAATATCTAGAACACTCGAGGTCAGTGCATAAGTCCTGTGAAAACCAAGCAGTAGTCCTGGTGTATAGGCAAGAATGCAGCATTTAGCAGGGGCAAATATGAAACTTCAGTGTAAGCTATAACTGTCTTTGGTGTAATGTTTGTTGAATGGTGATAAAATTACTTATACTGGTACAGCTCTGCTCAGCTGTTGGAGATATACCCAAAGATTGGTGGGAATACATGATCCAGCACTTCCTCCTGCCCTTGTGTTGCAACAGAAACCCTGTGGGGAACACGAAAACGCAACGGAAGGCAAATATCAATTCAGAGACTATGTTAGTACCTTGCTAAAGAGCATTATTCTGTGTGTGTTTATGCAATGAACATGGCACATGAATATTTGAACAGGTAAGTAAAAGTCCTTTTTCCAATGAGTTGTACAATGTGAGCAGTGTGCCAAAAGATGGAGTTGGAAAATGAAGTAGCTGTGGTATTACTTGTGGGTGAAGGGGTCTGTGCACAAGTATAGGGGTGTGAATTGCTTTATATTCATCTAAAACCAGATTTTCCCATAACTGGAAAGTTACTAAACTGACTTGAAATAAAAAGGTATGTTTCCCAAGAGTATAAAAACTTTCTCCAGGGGAGGCGATCACGTAGACTTGTTGCTTGCAAATGAGGAAGAACTGACGGTGGATGTGATGTGGGGTAGGAGAGTAAAGTCCAGAAAGAAGTGAGCAGAATGAATAGTAGGATTAGGGCCCTGCACTACATAATAACAGATGTTTGTCTTCTTCAGGGGTCTACTTGGTAGGATTAAATGGAAGACTGGTTTGAATTGTAAAGGAGCTCTGAAGAGCTGGTCGATCTTCAAGAATAACCTCTCAGAGCACAAGAATGGCTCATTTTGATATACAGAAAACTAAGAAAGTATGGCAGGATGCCTGACTTGAGCTCAGATGTGTCTGGGAACAACAAGAGGAAAGAAAGTGAGGGAAGGCTAGCTGGGACAAGGCAGGCACAGGAGCTGTGTCATCACTGTGAAAGCAGTCCCATAGTGCCTGAAAAAGAAGAGCAGAACATGTCTGGTAACAGTAACCAGGTTCAACCAACAGTCCAGTGACAGCAGGCAAGTCAGTAGTGACAAGGCAGGTCTGAGGTCAAGCCAGTATGTAAAGTCCGTGAGTCAGGGTGTGCATCAGTTGGGCTGTGTGCCCAGGCACAGGCATGACTTCAGTCTGGCTCAAGCTGGGAACTACTTAAAAGCTTCATCATAAAAGCAGCTTTGAGTGATGTGAGGGGAGCCCCTGCTGAGGTGGCTTCTTACAGCTCTTTCATAAGCAGCTCTTTCTTCATAACAGTCTGGATCAACAGCTGTGCGATATCTGAGAGCTGCCCATAAGTGCAGGCAGCTACGCTCCTGAGGGGGAGCTCTGGAGCCTTATACAGAGAAGGTGAAAGCAGGTATTGGCTACTGAAGAGCAATGTAGAGATGCTGCCCAAGTGTGCTGTGATGGAGTTACGAAGGCCAAAGCTCATCTCCAAGGGATGTGGGATGAATCTCACGAGGGATGTGAGCAGAAACAAGAAGGATGGGAATAACAGCTGGAAGACTAAAGAAGATACAGACCCACTGCTTAATGGGCAAGGGACTAGACAGAAGACAAAGAAAAGGGTGAGGTACTTAATGCCTTTTTTTTGCCTGGTAAGACTTGTCTTCCTGCTTCCTGCGCCCCTGAGCCTAATAATAAAGCCTATGGAAGTGAGGAATTGTCCACAGTAGACAGTGACAGCTGGTGAGTAGTTAACCCAGTTGTGCAATTGCATGCCAGTGGGACATAGAGTTGTGCATCCAGGGATGCTGACTGATGTCATTGTGAGACTAGTTTCCATCCTCTTTGGGAAGTCATCACCATTGGGAGGTTCCTCAGTGACTGCAAAAGGCAAACACCATGGCCATTTTCAAGAAGTTAGAGTGTGGAAAAGTGAACCTGTTAGGGAGTAAATCCTTCTGGAAGCTCTTTCCCAGCATGTGAAGGACAAAAAGGGAATTGGAACCAGTAAGTCTTGTTTTACCAGAGGCAGGTTGTGCAAACCAGTTGCCTTCTGTGCTGACGTGACTGACTTGTAGGTAGGCAGGGTCTGTGGTGTGGTCTCCTGTAGTATTCTTACAGCTACCAAGGTGAGATGTCAGCTGGGTAGGTGAGTGCTCAAACAGATGGACTGCCAGGCTCAAAGGATGATGAGCAGTAGTACAAAACTTGATAGATGGCCATGTGCTAGTGATGCACCTTATTAATTACCAATTAATACCAGAGTGCAGTCCTTTATCTGACATGTGGTAACCAGCAACACAGGCTGGGACACCTAACTGGAAGCAGCTCCACAGAAGAGGACCTTGGGGTTCCAGTGGGTGCCCAATTGAGTCAGCATCGCATCCTTGTCTCAAAGGCAACTGATGACATACTGTGCTGCATTAGCAGTGTAGCCAGCACTTTGAAGGAAGTGATTGTTCCTGTTGTGAGACCACACTGGAGCAGCATTTGTGAGTCCCTACTGTCCTGTGACCAGCGGGCTCCTCTGTAAAAGAGAGGTAGGGACAAAGTAGAGGGAGTCCACTGGAGGGCTCCCTAGTAATGACTAATAAGTCATTAGTAATGGCTACTGACCAGGGAGCCAGATGGCACTGTGGATGAGGAGAGACTGAGAGAATCGAGTTTCAGCCTTAAGAAGGAAATTTTGTTACTTCAACTACTAAATGGGAAGGGAGAATACAGAGAAGACTGAGCCATGGACCTTTTGGAGCTGCTCAGTGACAGGAGAAGGGATGACAAAGAAGTTGTGGTAAGAATAATTCCAGTTGGATGGGGGAGGGAATAGTGCTTTGGGGGTGACCAAACTGGGAACTGGCTGCCCAAAGAGAGTTTTGATATCTCTGTCCTTGAAAGTGCTGAAAACAAGAGCATACTAGAAAACTTTTGCTGGGGCTTGGACTAATGAGCACCTGGATCCAGAAGTCCTTTCCAACATACATCAGTCTAGAAATCTGTGTTACTGGTTTTTGGTTTGGTTTTGATTTTTGTTTGGTGGGGTTTTTTGTTTTGGTTTGGGGGGTTTTGTTTTGGTTTTTGGGGGGTTTTAATTTAAAAAAAAGAAATGTCCCCCACCCAATATGTAACAATGGTGGCTAGTAACAGGTTGGTTTTCTTACATGTCCCTTTGGTAGAATTTGCTTTCAAGGACTGTGTAGCTGTTGTCCCCAAGCTCGGGTTGGAAGCCACCCTAACAGGCTCGGGTAGAGTCATCCAAACAGACTCAGGTAAAATTTAATTTGGAGATTTCTCTTTTTATAATAGGAACATAAATTTTAAAATTACCTGTTTTCCCAAGTTCAATAAAAATGTCTTACTCACTTTCTCATTTTTATATCAGCCTTTACCCCAGGCTCAACTAGAAAGTCTTCATTGTTAAATCCCATTAAAATTAGAAATGTTGTCTTTATTATAAAATAAGAAAGGGTGAGATGCCAGGGTTTTGAAGTTGTTAACTCACTTGTCTATCATTGGTTTCTGTGTTGCCATAGTTATTATTTTGTCTCCTTGCATTGGCTAGCCGAATGGCCAATCCCCTCCTTTCCCTAGCAGCCCTTATAAGCTGTGGGAGATTCGAATAAAGGCTCTCTTCGCTGCTGGATTCCCTGTGTGCTGCGTGGTCTCTGTCTCCTGGCATAGGTGCCTCCACCGCCTGTCCCTGTCACAAGGGACGGGCATTGGGGGATGATCTCAGCCCTGAAAACTTTCACAGAGCGGCCGGTAGTGACCCTCCAGAAACCCCTCAAACTGCAACAGTTGTCCTGTATTGCATCCCATGACTGTAATAGAAGATTGCATAAAAATTTCAACTTCTGCAGTTCCATTTGTTTGACACACATTTTGGTTTTCTAGATCAGTACTTTTGGTACTTCTTTTGTGTAGTCAATAGTGAGAGGCATATTTTTGAAAGGCTGATAAAACTTTAAACGTATTCTTTACAATGATATGTGATAGCGTTGGGAACTAATTGTCCTTTCAAAATAGGTAACAGGCTATTTATTGTCTCTGTGATGAAGTTGTGCTAAATAAGCATGAATATGAAGTAATTTCTTAAACCAATACTGCTTTCATTTGTAGTGAATCTATACCATTCCTTTTAAATTAGGACCTGCCCAAACTCCCACTGAAGTGGGAGGTGAGGGGGAAAATTTATTTGACCTGTGATTTATAACTCCTCTGATTGTTTATGTCTGATTCCTGATGCAGTGTTCTTCAAGGTAATGAAACAGAAGCTTTTGGTTCAGGATCCTAATATGAGTAAAATATAGATCATGGGATAAGGAACATGGAGCAAAAAGAACAGGTCCATATTCAGGATTTTCACAGCAAAGCATCAAGGCTATTTTTGAAATTAACAGCAAACTGTAACTGAGCTTGCTTTCTGTTAGAGGCATGCAAAGGCTGCAGTAGTACAGAAAGGGTTCTGCCTTGACTGATGTTCAACAAATAAGTACTTAAAAAAAAGCAGTTGAAGGTGGTTGAAGTGATAAACTCATGGGGAAAAAAGATAAATCAGTTTCCCATCTGTGAAACCAACAAACGGCCATTCTTTTCTGGTTGTGATTTTATTTTAATTTGAGGAGCTCTTGCATTTACGTGTTGTGATTTTATGACATTGGACATTGAAAGTACATCTTTAGTGACAGGCTAGAAGATTTGAGCTATAAACTATCTGACCTCAGTGAAGGAAAAACATAAAGGCATTGATTGAATATTTTGATCATAAACTATTTTAAGTTACTTCTTACAGATCAAAGATTATACATGTAACTACAAAACAGCTGATGATATAAG